AAAAAATATCTTTTCTTTATAAATTACCTGGTGTTAGGTATTATGTTATCATGTTATAGCAGTAAGACAAGGTCTTTTAAAATTATTATTGGGTGTTGCTAATTCTAGGTTGACAATCACTAGTTAAAGCTGCTTGATGTTACCTTTCTTTTTTAAATTTGTGGGCATATTAATGTCATGACACTAAGGTGGTGAGGACTTCGTGGTGGGTGGCGCCACAGTGGCAGATGTACGTGCATGAGGGAGCTATCACATGGTGAGACAGGAAGCCAAACAGAAGAAGGGTCTGGCTTCACTCTTTTTATAACAATCACTCTATGGAAAACTAACTGGAGTTCAATGGAAACTACTTCACGCCTCCTAGGGTGACTCTCCCATGATCCCACCACTTTTTTTTTTTTTTTTTTGGCAGCACTGGGGTTTGAACCCAGGGCCTCATACTTACTAGCTAGGTATTCTACCATTTGAGCGACTCCACCAGCCTTCACCACATCTTAATGTCCATACTGGGGGCCAAGCTTCCAACACATGAATCCTTGGGGACACACCCAAACCACATCTAAACTATAACAACCTTCCTAAACTCCGGCTTTCATTGTTCAACTCTCTTCAGTAAAATAAGTCTAAAGTATATCCTATGTATAACACTGCACTCTAAATTCACAGCAGCAAAGTACCTGTGTGTGTAAGTCACAGACCTTACTTGTCCCAGAGACTTACGACAAGGTGCAGCATGCACAGAAAAATCTCTGACACCAAAGAGTAGGTGACATTAGATGAAAGTGACAAATGATTGCCATCGGTGCTCATGCAGGTTCCTTCACTGAGCACACAATTATTATGCATGTCTGTTTCCTATGATCCTTAAGCCTGGGAGTGGGACTTGATAATCATATCTAATATTTAGCCATGGGTAGAAAAGTCCTAATGGAATGCAAGAAAGAGGCCAACTTTTCCCAGCATTCATGATGACTTAGGTTACAGTATGGGAGAGGAGAGAGGAGACATTCCCTGAAAGCGGAGGCATTTGAGGTAAACTTTCAGGAGGAGCTAGATTTTGACAATTGAAGGAACACTGAAGGACAAATGAGCAAAGATGGGAAAGAGAATCAGAGGACATGCTTTGGAAACACATGGTCTGTTTGGCCAAGAAGTAGGAAAGATTTGGGGTATAAGGAGAAGTTGAAGTCAGAATGGAAGGCAGGCATGAGGGCAAGGAGGGCAGTTAGTGCTTGCGAGGCCTTCAAACGTCCCTGTCATTTGTGCCAATGCTGGTGTCAGGCTCCTGGTATGTCAGGCACATCCGTGTGAGTTAGCAATTTTGATGGTCTAGGAAATTTTCTTGTATGGCCACTTTAAGTGAGCCTGCCAAAAATTCCTTTTGAGAAATAGCATTTTAGAGTATTATGTAAGAAATTCGTGCTTACTGTAAAAGATATTGGGAAATGGAGGGAAAGGTATGAACATAGCAAAAATAATTCACAGTTCTTCCACCCTAACCACTGTTAACATTGACAGTCTTCTCGATTTGTTTCTGGTCATGCTCTTCATTTTTTGTTTTCCATCAACGTAAGAATTATAGTCCATATACAGTTACACATCCTTTTCTACCTGACACATTTTGAATATTTCCCTATGGCAGAAGTTTCTTTGAAAACACAGCATCGTCTCAGGAATACAACTTACTTAACTCATTTAGCCATTTTCCTGACAGAGCAGGTCTGTTGCTTATAGTTTTTTTCTATAACAGCATAGCTTATTTAGATAAGCCCTGGTTCACAGACCATGGCCCCCACTTGCATTGAGGACTTATCCAAGCACTTCCTGGAGGAACTCATTTAATCCTCTCAGCAGCCTGAGGAGCTCCATGTGTGTTCATATCCCCGCTTTACAGATGAGGAAATCACAGGTTAAGCAATTTAGGCAAGAAAATAGGAAGCAATAGAGCTTCTCCCCTAAGCTTTATCTGCTTAAAAATATAAACAACAAGACTATAGATATACATTAGGAAATTGTTTCAGAAAAAAAGTGTGGGCTCTTCTTGCATTGCTACAAAGACTCTGACGTTGTTCATGACTTAGCAAGTTCTTACTCACAGCTATCTTCTCAAGGCTTCGTATAAGAGCAGCTAATGTACCTGGAAGGTTCCACCAAGTTCCTTCTCCAGCACCTTTATGCAGAGACCACACTCACTGTTCTATACCTGCATTGCTTCAGGTAATTGTTAAACTGCACTATGTAGTGATGTTGCTATGGGCTCTGCTTTTGTTTCTGGACGCAGTTGGGTTGTTACCAAGCTAAGCATCCTCCCCCACGTCACCACATTGAATCGCGTGGCAAATGTAATGCGGACCAGAGGGTCAGTTGCTGGCTCTACAGCAGAAGGAAAAACCTGAGTATCTGTGGGTAAACCAATGGAAGCTCTTTGTATTCCTCTATCCTGTGATTGATTCACAAAATTTTCTTATGAGTGCCTCTTCATAAAATACTGAGTGAATATAAAGGAAGCCTCTAAGACAGAGGGACCTTGATTCTTCTTATAAAGAAGGATTTCTGTGAGTCAAAACCAGACTAAGGTATGGTGTGCTCATATCCGTGGACTCTTCTATCTCCATACCTAACAGTTCTGGATTTGCATAGAGTCCATTGGGACTTAATAACCCCTGGGAGGAGGCATCTTAGGCTTCTATGAGGCCTAGCAAACCCTTTCTGGTATGAGAGTTGGTGCAGAATTGTGGAGACATGAAATACTCTGAGTAAATTTTGAAAGCCAGAGCAGTCCTGGGGAGGGATGTTGAGGTCATATTATATAAATAGTGGGTCAGTTGAGGTGGCAGTCTGAGGTTCATGGGTAAACAAAGGGTTAGGGGTGATGGGAGGATGCACCTGAGATGGCCCCATTTTCCTTATTATTTGTGTCAAGTTGGAAAGTGGGTATTTGTCTATACCTACCTCCCCCCGCCAAAGTGACTTTGGAATTCAATGTGGGGATTTCACAATCATTCCTTATTTTTTCTTGGAAATGTTTTTTGACATAACAAATCTGTTTGTATTTGTAAAGGATTAGCCATAGATTCTGCTTCTGGAGCAAATTCAGACAAGGATTTAGTAAATGTTCTACAGAGGCCAGGTAAGAACAAAGCCACTTCTAATCCAGGTGTTACTGGTCATGTAAAGTGCAAGATTCAGATAGCGCACCTTCGAGGGAATGGAGGCAGAGCGGGCAAACCCTGAGTTAACACAATTTATGTTCGTAGAACTGTCTTGTTAAGCATGTAGTTTTGAAAGGATATTCAGTTCTTGATTCATCCCAGAAAATTCCTCACTTCAAACTTGGGAAGCTAATGTCTTGTTCCTTTTTTCAAACACATTCTCTCTCACAAAATGATAGTTCCATGAGATTGTTGAATTGTTCATAAAGCATTTAAAAGCCTGAAGAAGCCTGTTATCTAACCCTCTCAAGGTGGAAGCAGTGAGGTGATAAAGCTAATGGCTTTTCTTTCTGCTTTCAGAATGGAACCTGAAGCTCAGCAGCCTGGATGGCCTATCACCCAGGAATGCCACCTTGGGAAGGACAAAGCTGTTTGTCTTCTCACAGCATCCTTTAGAGCAAATAACATAGCTTCAACTTTATTTACTTCCTTCTCAATTTTCAAAACAAAATCATTAAATGCATCAACCTGTACACTGTTTGATTTAAACATTCACTTGAAGTTTTGATTGTCTTTCAGGCATTTAAGGACAATGTTGCTTTGATATTTGAATCTTTTTGTGAAATAAGTCATTGAAGTGCTAGCAATATTTACTGATGAGTAAAATCAGTTTTTGACTAGCTTTATTCTATATAAAAGCTATGAAATCCTGGCTTTATATTTGCATGGAATAAATATTAACCTATAATTAGTAACTATTCCTGTTTTAAATGTTCTTCTCTAAACCATGTAGAATTGTCTCACCTGACCAGTCAGAGACCATAGTTTTGGGAAACCAAACCAGAAGGAAAAAGTTAACAGAAACCTTCTACCTTGTGGAAGAACATTCTAAGGGCCTTCTGCCATTTACATATCGTGGCCAAATCAGAAGACACCTGTCCATTTCTTTATCATTTGTTTATACAGCTCTGTTGGGAGGTGAGGCAACTTTTCCTTCTCTTTGCAGGAAGCCAGGTCAAAGTATTGAGGAAGCTTCTGTAACTGGGTATTGGGAGGTCACAGCTGAGGTCAGCTATTGCACTCCCACTTCATTCTGAAAGACTGGCTTCCCCCCAAGAGAAAGGACTATAGCAATTTACTTAGCCATCCGAGAGCAGAGGGTTCCTCCTAGTAAAGTACCCCATTTCACTTTGTCCCATGTCCTCCTCTCTGCTCAGCTGTAGCTTAAGGACTCTGATCTGTCAACACGGGCTTCCTGTGGGTTCCATGAGCTTCATCCCAGCCCTGACTAGCTCTCTGCCCTTCCTAGCAATCTGGGTTTCTCACACTGGGCCTCTTGATAGGCTTCTTGGATGTGCAAGGCTTCCTGCCGGCACCCCCTACCCCTCGCTACACACCATATTTAGAGATTAAAAAAAAAAAAAAGGCCTGTCACTATTTAATACTTTCTGAAGAAATCCCAATAAAGAGTAAGTAAAATTCTAACTTGTAGTAGAAGTTAATTGCAAATCTGGATCATAGCGGTCCAGGAAAACCTAAACTCTGGTAGCTAGCAAATTCTGACCTACACTTCAGAAATAAATTACGTAACATTATAAAAGGATTCAGTGTGGTGAATTTAGCTGAAGCATGTAAGCTTCCGTGAAATCATAATAAATCATAATGATTTTATGTTAAAAAGGTAGTTTCTAATGGAGGTTAGTAGAACAGTAGTTTCTCAGGGGGAAATAATGTCCAGGAGGGGGCGTGAGGGAGCTGACAAAGGAGCTGGGAACGTTTTCTATCTCAATGTGAGTGTAACTCATGTTAATGCTGGTGTCGCTACCTGAAAAATTATGCAAGCCCGAGTGCAAGATCTGTAAAGTTTATTATATGTAAGATATATATGTTTATGGAAAAAAAAGAGTCTCTAAAAACAAAAGAAAAGACTTTTTAAAAGGTTAGGGTTTACATTGTTTAAATTCATTAAGAAGATACCAAATTCAAGAGATAGATTACAAGTACAGTTACATTGTAAAATGTAATCGTCTTTGAATAAAAGCTAATAATGACTTAAGTTGATGAGTTACAAATGCATTTATGTATTGGTGATTAAAAACAATACTTGGAACTTAAGCAGCTTGAGTAATAGTTTAAGCTAGGCAAAGAAAATTCTTGTTTAATATATTTATATATATATTTTTAAATTCCAGTATATTTTCTTAAATTCCTGTTAAAAATATAATCAATATTATAGTCAGCAAAATGCCTTTGACTGATGCCTGGATTATTTTACCACTTAACCTGGTTACACAGTGATTTTTTTTTTCTGTCAGATGTAACTGACGACCAGTTTTGTCTTTAAGATAAATGAAGTAATAACTCACATTGCAGCATTATGTGGAAAATATTCAAACTACACTTAAAATGCTCTTTTTTAAATGGAGAAATCTATTGCTCCACAAGCAATTGTTTCTGTAAAGCTACAGGTTGGCTACGGTAATTGTAACTAAACTACATCCAACCCTGAAAGGTAGAAAAGTCCCTGAAAAGAAATACACAGCCTAGTTATAATATGCCATATAAAGATTATAGTCTTCTTTTAAAAACAATTCTCCCATGGTGAGAGAGCCAAACCTTTCTGTATTCCTTTGCTAGGCAGTGCTACATAACATTTAGCTAACATTATTCTGATCATGGCTTATGATTAAACGCAATATGACATACACTTGTATATAGCAGCTGTCATTTTGGATGTTGGTTATGACAATATATATGCAGTTCGATTACAGAAAATGTGCTTGTTAAATTTGGTACAAAGCATGAACACTCAGGACAGATTGGCAGATACATGCAGTTTGAGAATTCTTTCTCAAGCTACTCATCACCGAATAAGCCATAGTCCCAGTCCTGTTTTCCAAATCTTTCTTTCCTCATATAATAGCTGATGTTTAAAAACGCTTCTTAAAATAGCTTCCAGAATTTTTTTTTTTTTTTTTAAAAAACGCATGGTTTTAAAACCAAATTATCTGAATGCATGATGGAAATGAGGCAGGATAGCAGTGGTGGTGCCAGCTGTGAAAACGTGGGGAATGGGTGGCAGGGGGAGCTGACCCAGGCTCACAGTGCCCACGGCTATTGGGGCTTCCTGCTGCTGCTGCCCCAGACAGTTTAATCTATGGGGCAGAGGCTCTCCAGGCCCCAGAGGGAGAGTGCCATTCCCAAAGCCATCTTGGGGTGCTGGAGGGGGCAGCTGCCAGAAGCTCAACAGGGAGGAAATCTCCAGAGAGGCAGGGATTGCTAGGTTCACAGCATCTGCGGGCAGCTCTTTGGGCAGGGTAACCTTCCCAGCCCCTCCCTTAGCCAGCTCAAAACCTGGGTTGAGCTTGTGAGGTGACTGAGGCTCCTGCAGAGGGAAGTCCTCAAACAAGCTCATATTGCAGAAACCTTTAGTATCTGCTTTAAGAGGCAGGCCTGCAAGTGGCGGGTATGAGGTCGAACTGGCACTGTACTTTTGATCGGGAAGGGTCTGGGGAGGAGAGCCGGGGACTATCATGGCATGCAGAGGAGCAAGGGACTCTGGCAGTGGCACAGGCTGCACGGCTTGTTCGGGGGGACTGAGGGTGAGCCCATGGACCTCAGCCGGCAAGCTACCTACAAGCCCGCTCTGGGCAGGAGCTCCTATCGGGAAAGGAGGCAAGGCAGCGGCCTTCAGCTGGAATGGGGGCGACATGGGATGGAAGGTGCTCAGAAGGTCGCCGGTCTGCAAGCTCTCTTTCATCAGCTCCTGCGAGTGTGTCTTCTTGGTGTGACGGGTGAGATGATCCTTGCGCCCAAATCTCTGGGCGCAGAACTGGCACAGGAAGTCCTTGCATCCTGTGTGGACCACCAGGTGACGTCGCACATCCTTCCGGGTATAGAAGCATCTCGCGCAGTGGTCGCACTGGTGCTTCTTCTCCTTGGTTCCACTGGGGGGCTTTTCCTCTGCGTGGGTTTTGAGGTGATCCAGCAGCACCTCGGTGCTCCCCAGCTCCAGGGCACAGACCCCACAGGTGAGGTCTCCACTGCTGGCGGCATGCAGCGCCAGGTGCCTCTTGTAGCCCAGCACGGTGTGGTACTTCTTCCCACATTCCTCACACCCGAAGGACATTTTGTTGGGGTCGTGGGTCTGGAGGTGGTTCTTCAGATGGTCCTTGCGGTTGAATGTCTTCTCACAGTGGGCACACTGGTGAGTCTTCTGGGGCGAGTGGGTAGCCATGTGCCTACGAGCAAGAGGAACATTTTGCAAGAGTGGTTTTGTGAGCTGAAGAAAGGTAGAGGCAATATTATATTGAAATGTTAATAACCGTTTTCTCTGAATCTTGGCATCTTTTAACTCTCTTTTTGTATTTTCCCAATACACAAAATTTTATCATTATTAAAGTCAAGAACCACTAAAGTCATAATGCAATTTTATACCTATAGGGACTTTATGAGCATATATTTTCCTAATGTATACAGTTTTCTAAACAAATTCAAGTATTTAAAAATGTGTGAGCACAGAAAATATTTTTCAAGAGGGGTTAAATGGGTATTTGACACTCTTCAGAAATTCCTAAATTTTCAAAAGTGACCCAATTTACCTTCTACACAGAACCCATCAGCACCAGCTTTTAGATTTTCGTTCCTAGTACAACTCCTGCATGTCTACTGATTGAGACAAAAAGTTCAGGTTGGAGGTATAAGACTCTCCAGAGCCTCTTAAAAAGTCAATCCTTAATCTCTTAGTATTCAACTAGACCCAGTCTTTTAAAACTCTACCATCCTTAAACTTCAAAGGACTCACTTTAATAAATAAAATACCAAGTACTGTATGTTAGAACTTCATATAAAACAGAATCCTTCACTACAACCTGTGGCTTGCAGGTAGCCCACAGGTTGCTTTGTATCCCTATGACAGCCACATCCTTTAGATCTTCTTTAGAAGCTTAAGTTGTCTTGCTAACAATTTAAATGCAATTGTACCCTTTGAACTAGTGACTGTGGATATGAAAGAATTTCTAACAACTCATTCTGTAAGAAAAAAATACAATCTCTAAGATAGTGTGTTAAAGTCAACAGTACACTTACACCTTTCATCCCACCACCTGCCCTGTTTTATCCATTCTTGATCCTTTCTTAGTGATATAAAGGGAAAGGGTCTAGAGCAGCAATGGTTTAGAAGACAGCCACGGGCCCACTAAGTGGAAGACTGGAAGCCAGTTCAAAAATTATTAAGCCAATCTGAATGAAACTGTCACTTTCTTAAAAATAAAGCAAAACCTCATGCTCCTTCCTTTCTCCCTTCAAAAAAAGTAACCTGCTGTGTGCAGGGGATAAAAAGAAAAGCTAGTTTCTCCCTTCCATCCAGGAAATCACTGCTTGACATGTATAAACGATATGGCAGTTGCTATCAGGCAAGAGTAAGACTGAGGCATAAGAACCAGTGCAATAGACACTGAGATCTGAAATATGTTGGGGTCTCCATGGTCTGAATGTGAGTAAATAAATTCAATTGCAGAAGGGGGGGTTAGAGCATGTTAGAGGGCAAACGGCCATGTTGTTCACGATGCCCACGTGTGTTTAACAGGAATGAATACAAAAGGAGGCTGGCTTACAAACTTGGCATTTCAGCCATTTTGTATTCCGCTTAGTACTCATGAAGAGGGTCTCCAAGTTCTGTCCTGGGTCTTCTATGCTTGCCTTTCTCCCCTTCATTCTTTGTTGAGGGTTTTCAACTGATTTGGTTTCATCTATGACCCAAATGCAGATCAACACCAGGTTAGTAACTCTGGCCCTGGTATTTCCTGTCTATTCTTTCCTGTTCTACCTCTGAGTGAGGCACAAATTGGCACTCTTTCCTGAGCAATACCACCACCTTTCAACTTTCACAGGCTCCCATGGAGTTTTATGACTTTCCTTTGCCTGGCATCCAATTCTTTCCTTTTTTAATTTAATTTTTCCCTCACTTCCTCATGCAACAGTCCCCATGCACAGCATTATCATCTCATGGCTGAAACCACTTCAACTTGTTTCCTTCCACCAACTGCTCTTCTTACCCCACAACCCACGAAGCCACTAATTTTATTATGTCCTAGTCAATACCAAACACTGCCATCTTTGAGTAGCAACTGGATCATGTCAGTGGTCTTAGAAGTCTTCATAATGATCATTCACAGTAAGAGTTCTAACCTTGGACTTTAGCCTGCTCTGCCAAATCGACTTTTCTGGCCCACTGCTGTCTATACCCACTGCTGTACTGGGACCTACATTCTCTTTTCTGGTTAAGCAATTCAGTTATTTTCTCCTTCAATCTCTGCTTATAAAATGGAATTTATTTTGCAACTGCTGGGAAATGGCATGGAATGCTGCCCTATCATTTTTTTTTTAAACCAAACCTAAAGCTTTCTGCCATCTCGCTACTCTCCAATTCCTTGTAAGAGCATGGCCTTGGGCCAGAGAGGCCAGAAGGGCTGGAGCAGGAACAGTGGGTCTTGCATAAAGCATAGAGCTTCCCATTTTTGCCTTCTTCACATCCTTAACTGAACAAGGCATTTCTCTTGAACTACTGCCTCCCAAGTGGTGCTTAAGACATCGTCTTCAGTTGGTTTACCACAGTAATCCCAATTCTAGTCATTGCAGTGATGTGTTTGCTCCACTCTTTTCCAGGTATTTATGTCCTCCAAGGGTCTTGCTTTTCAACAGTTATGGTACTCTCATGGGGCTCACCTGCAGCCAAAGCTGCCTGCAGTGTCTAGGTAAGGATGCCTGCTATATACAGCAAAACAGGGAGCCACTGCTACAAAATCAGTGCACGCAGGAGGCAATCAGTACTGCTAGTATGGCAACTAGAGAATGGCCGTGTACAGCAAAAGACATTTGAATTTTAAACACCTGAGCATTTACAGGCTTATTTTAAAAATCAGCTTATACTGTATTATCTGTATCAGTGCTATTTATTTATTCTTAAGGGCCAGGAGCATAATTTACATCTTCCTTTCACCTCTTTCAAATGCTTTCCTCCAGGGTACTCCAAGATGATACACTAATGCAATCCCATGAATACCTCTCAGATGGGGAGTCATTTTTGCTAACTCTGACTCTCACCTATGCATTAGTAAGTGAGTAGTCAGTAAGTTGATGCTTTAACAGTCATTTCATGAAGATGAGAGGCAAGTGGCCTTGAAAGAAGCAGACGTGAAGTGGGAGTTCTGTGTGGCCCCGACAGCACTGTAGGTGTCAGGCACACAGCATTCACTGTCAGACTAGTGTCAGATTGCATAGTTTGTCTTTTCTATGACATTACCACAATCCTTCAGCAGCAGAAGCTAACATCTCATATATCATTTCCTTCAGGGAAGTGAGTACCTAACAGAGCCTCGAGAAATAATTCGGATTCCATGTATGTATTTTTTAAAAAGGACTTGTCTGCTAACACAGTAGTTTTATACCACTTTCTGTCCTGCCTTTGGTATATCATGGATGCCTCTGGAAGTCTGACTAATGCACCTACTCAGCATCTTGGTGTCCAAGTGAACTCCATTTGTTCAGGTGCCACAGTAATTACTAAAGAGCTTCAAAGAATCTCTAAAAGGTTAATAGGCATCCAAATCCTGCCTCCCTTCTCCTTGCAGTGAGTGCTCTGAAGGTGAGAAGGGCCACTTAAAGGTCCGTATGAAAGTGCACACCTTTCTGAAGCCTCTCACCTCATCAATTTATATCTGGAAACGAAGGCTTTGCCACAGTCAGTCTGCATGCACTTGAATGGCCGCTCCCTGGAGTGGGAGTAATTGTGGACGGTGAACTTCTCCAGGGTGGGAAATGTCTTGCCGCATAATTGGCAGTGGAACGTGGCCATGGGTTTTGCTTCTCACACCTTCCTTTTCAGATGTACTGAACAAACACTGTGCCATTTAAGCACAAATGGAAGGAAAGTGTTGGGCACATTAGCAGAGTCACTGCAGTTGGGCTCCAGAGAAGGTGAGCGGTGGCATCACAACCTGGGTTCACCCAGACAGGGAGCTCTCAGTCACTCTCAATTTGTTTCCTGCTTTCCTATGTTCTAGAGTCCCTCGAGCTGGGGGAGAGCATCTGAAGCACAGAAGAAATCCAGGTGCAGGAAGCAGGTCTGCATCACTACAGCTGGGGGTCCTGCATCACCAGACGGTCGGTCTGTGGAGACAAGAGAAGCAGTTTTCTTGCCTCAGTCATTTGAAAACCATGCTTTTCCTCCTTCCCACTTCAGAGCCAACGACCCGCAGTCAGCATGTTCCTTTAAATGGCTCTAATAGGCACAATTTCCCATACTCGCTGTGTGCTTCAAGAGGCTCTTCTGCACAGAAATCTACCCATCTGCTTCTCCTGAGCAGTAAGGCAACAAGCATGTGGGCAGTATTGATGGCTGATGAAGCACATGCTCCTCTGTAATGAGCATGGCTCTCTCACAGATTCAGCATCAGCTACCTCATGATTTCAGGTCAGTGACTCAGTTGACCAGTTAAAGAAAAAGCCTTTCCTTCATGTGTTGCCATGTGCTACTGGTCCATAAACAACAACAAAATCACCCCTCTTATTCAAACTATTGGCTTTTCTTCTTCACGCATTGTTAGTATAACATAAGTTGTTTATGACACCTGTTTAAACTTCCAGGGGATGAGAAGGAATGATTTGTATACATCTGAGTTAATTTGTTTGTAAGATCACTACGCACAAGGGCTGATGAACAGAATGGGAGTAAAGCGAGTCTACTTGCACTGATGAGATGAGGAGAGAGAAAATGTTCCTATGGAAACAAGACTGATGGATCCAGTGAAAGTACAGGCCACATTTACATTGGTAAGCACCAGTATGTAGAAAATTATTTTATTGGTCTCTTCCCCTTCTGTTTATGAGAACATGTCCTCCTCTTCAATGCCCAAGGGAAGGCCACTTTAAGGAGGTGGGCCTGCTGCCTCTGCCAAATCAAGTTGTTTCAAATGCAGGTCATTATCATCCCTCTAACTCAGCCGATGATATCTAGCACCAAACTCTTCGTTTTCAACCAATGGGCCATCATTTGAAGGCTTAAGTGTCTAAGGTAGACATCGTGAACACTATAGTCAAACCCTGGATGGTTAGAACCCTGTGCTATTTCAGAGAGTCATTTTCGGGTGGGTGGATGCTGACCTTCCAAGTAACTACACTTAAGAGAAGTAGGGCATCCTGAAGCTGAAAATTTGAAGTGCTCCAAAATCAAAAATGTTTTGAGTGTCAACCTGATGTGATGCGTAGAAAATTCCACATCTGATTTCATATAATAGGGTCACAGTCAAAACCCAAAGACCCTGAATATATCAGATAAAATGATCTCAGGCTATGGTATATAGCCTGTATATGAAACACGAGTAAATTTTGTGCTTAGGCTTAGGTCTCATCCACAAGCTATCTCATTATATATATATGCAAATATTCCAAAATCTGAACTCTGAAAATTGTAATACTTTTGCTCTCAAGCATTTTGGATAAGGGATATGCAAGCTGAACTATACACTTACATTAGATAAACCCAAGCAGCTTGTGTATGCAGGCCAACCTTTTCTGAACCTTATCAAGCAGATGAGGCAAGTGTTTAAAGCAGTCATTGCCAAGTCTCTTTAGAGCTGTTCTCTACTGTTAAATGGTAATCTTTACTTACCTTTTCAGTTACTTTCAAATCAGGAAGCTAAATGAAACGCTATTTTAATAATAGCTCAAGAACCTTTAAATATACCAATATGAAATACACAGACAAACATACATGCCTTTTCTAATTGGAAAAAAATTGCATGACACTTGTAATATTCCTCATCTCATGGAATCACATGGTTTTAGCATCTGGGCAGAGGTTACAGCACCAGGCAAATACCCTTCACCATCCTGCCCCACCTGCTTGGAAACTATAGCACTGACTTATGCGCTTTGACCTGAAGGTTTGGAGCTAATCCACAGCAGGGACACACAGGCATCCTCAGCCAGCATCTTGGCACCAAACCTCCTCTCTGATGGTTTGGATTCTAGCAACATGCATAACCTTGTTCCTGTAACCAAGTATGACTTTAACTAAGCCCTGGGCCCTGACTCTGCCCAATTTCTCCTCCAACCCCTCATTCCTGTCCAGAATTCCAGCTCATGCCGTAGGCCCTTCCTTGAGATGTCCCCAGCAGCCCTGGCTGCAGATCCTTCTAGGAATTCCACTGGGTGTGGTGAGCTCATGTTGCCAGGTCTCGTGTTCTGTCCTATTTCTCATCTAGCCCAAGTCTGGCCATAGTACTGGGCCAACTATAAAGTACATTCATTCACTGGAAACTGCCCTGTATTCTCTCCGGGCCTATCTTTAAAAGGCTAAAACGTATACAGATTACAAAGTTTGAAGGGCATTTTTCCTCCTTCCCTTTATAGCTAACCACAAAATAGCACTAGTCACTCTGGAGGAACTGGCTTACTTTCTAATTCCAGTCACATACATTGTTTTCAATTTATCTCAGTAAACTTATTCTCTCCAATGCTTGTTTTATGAGATGACCAGTATGTCCAACAGAACCTTCTGTGATGATGGAACATTATACATAGATGGCTACCAAACACTCAAATTGTACCACTGTGACAATGAAATTATTGAAACTTAACTAGCCACATATAGTGTGGTAGCTGCACTGAATGGCACAGGCAGACTCTTAGATTCCTTGTCAAGAAATGAGGGCAAGTCTAGAATTTCCTTGGATGTAACTGTGTTTTCCATGAAGCGTAGGAGGAAGTTATGTCACTTGTTTTATGAACAAGTGGAAAGATTCCCCAGTTTAAATTCAGCTTAGCCATGTTGGCTGTGTCCTGAGTTTCAGTTTCTTCATTTACAGTACTCCCCCAGTGGATATAAATGGACTGTTGGGGGCAATCAACTGAAATAAAACAACCTAAAACATGCTGTAATCTGAGAAAACACCACACATACATACAGTATTTATAAAACACTGGGATTAAAAGTAGTTTCAATGCTCAGCTAATGGTATCTAACCATTAAGCCATGCATATAGTGGAAGAAAGTCATATGTTGTCTCCCTAGGTCTACACCATCAATTATTCATACTGGAAGGAAAGGAACAGTGCCATGGACAATATGTATGCAGAAAGTATCTAAGAAGTGTTTTGTTTCTCAGCAGATGGGAAACCTTGACTATTTATCAACATACCATGAGCACACACACACACACACACACACACACACACACACAAAGATTGATCCAATTTTTAGCAATTGCCCTTTGGCACTGAATAAAGTTTTTCAGATCCATTTTCTAATCACTTCTTCCCTAAATTCAAAATTCCAACAGTCATGGATAGCATTCATGCCTATATTTCCCTTAGGCCTTCAAAGATAGGGGTACAATCAGACAGTGTTAGACACAGCCATGTTTTATTTAGGGGTGAGGCACTTCAAGCTCCCCAGACTTTCCCTCAAAAACAAAAGCTTCTCCAATATTTTATACTTATTTCATGCACATCTTTTTCCAAGACTTTATCTCGTTGAGTTTTAGGTTTGTGTTAAACACATCCAGTCTAACACAAAGTGCAAAGCTGGTCCTTAAATGTTGAGCTAAATAAACTGCATCATAGTTAGCATTCTTCAGTTTCTTCATCAAGTCTTTAAGGATGAACTCAAACTCATAAATAGTGATAACATTCTAGTCACCATAACTGTGTATTTTATAAACATGGACCTTAGAATACAAATATTTGCACTGCTTTCATGATATAATCACAAACTTCTATAAAAATAAAATTGTCTTTCCCAACAGGCTATAAAATCTTTCTGGCTGAGGATCAAAGCTTAGCTGTTTAAAAAAAAAAAAAGTGTGGCTATATACAGTATCTCTCATCACCAAGAACTTGATCAGTGCTGGATGTATATTGATAATTCCAATCTTTGGTTGAAATCTGGCCATATCCTTGAGACTTACGGTTCCTTTCTATTACCTGGCAAACCACCAGCAATCCTAACAGAGCTGACAAAGCCAACGGTCCTCATGAGAGTCAGTCTGTTCTGTGCCTTGACAGAGAGACTGCATTCGAATCTTAAACACGGTACTATTTCAACACCTGTCACCCTGGAAAGATAGTAAGTCTTCCCCCAAAACATCTCAGGACATAATTTTCAGTCCCCTCAATTCTAAAAATACTGAGTGAGTGATACAGATCTGCCAGTATGCCAAAGAAGGCTTCAGCCATCTGCTTCATTCTGCTCATCCTGATTATTTTGGGGAGAGAGGATCAGACTGGAATAAGAACATATATATATATGGCAACAGCCAGGAAAAGCTATGTACCCTAGGGAGTAGTGATATACAACAGTGAAGGGGGAGGTCAGAGCACAAATGTAGACCCAGGACTTCCCCAGTGCTGTGTAACACAATCATATAATGGGGAACAACTGTTTTATCGCATTCTCAAAATAAACCATGACTTCTGGCTTCTATTTCCATTGTCCCCAGTGACACAATGCAAGACCCATCCACTTCTAAGAAGAAGCTGAATTTCCATTTTGGGTCATCAAGAAGGCTGCTCTAAGTTCTTATTTTCATTCCAATCATCACTATTTCTTGGGGATAAGAAGCACTCTACCACTTGAGCCATACCCTCCAGTCCTTCAGGTTTTGTTTTTTAGATAGGGTCTTGTGCTTTTGCCTGGACCAGCCTCGGGCTATGATCCTCTTATCTCTGCTCCCAGGAAGCTGAGATTACAGACATACAACTGTATTTATCAGGGCAAAGTGGGGGGGAAAGTTCTGCTATGTTTGGAATTCAAGCAGTAAACAATTTGTACTGATTTCATTTCAAATATGGGTATAGATGATAATTTAACAGAACAGATCCTGTCCTGTATTACAGGCCTACA